ACCGGGGGGGGGAATTCTTGACGCTGAACACAAATATATACTATGAGATTTTTTATTGTAAATAATAATTGGAATGAAAAGAAGTGAACAATGGAATCGAGAAATATAAAATGTGTTGTGTCATTTTATAGAAGAAATAAATAAATAAAAAAACAAAACTCTATGAAGTGCTTGAAGAATTATCTTCATGGTAAACATGACTATCGATGTATTCACTGGTATACATGAAGGTATAAAACAATTCATTTGTAATATTTGAAAATCAATGTAAATAAATAAGCAAAAGGCTCCAGAAAAAAAGACGAGCATATAGGTTTTCTGCATCAAAAGAATTTTCTGAGAGGTGACAGAATTTATGATCTAATCCGGCGGAGACCTTTATAATCTATTATTTCTACAAATAACACAAAACATAATCATTAATAAAATGTACTGAATAAGAATAATGCCAAACATAGATCAATTGTACATACTTTATTCAAAAAAAAAAAAATATCTTTTCTTTTTAGAAAGCTGTTGAAGTAAAGAAACCAAATGTCTGTACACGTCTCTGTGTTGTACCATTATTTGAAATGCCTAATAATTGTCTTAATGTTAAACGAAATTGTGGTGATGCTACACCATAGAGAACAAAATTCAATGCATGATTTGAGTATGATAATAATAATGTTATAGAATTAAATAAACGATAACGATGTTCTTGATTAAGTTCTTGAAATATTTGTCCAATAACAATCGGTGCAAGTAATAGAATAAAAACAAGATTTAACATAAATAACATATAAGAAATTTGTTTTGCACGACGTGTTGTTCCTTTACGTATTTTACCTTTAGTTCTCTTATTCATTGTTGTATTACTTAATGAAAAAAATAGACGATAAGCAATAATACCCGCACATATAGTCATAATAACAAATGGAATAAGTACATAAGAGAAAAGATCAATTATATTATATGGTTTTTCAAAAAATTGAAAATAAATTTTTGATGTATTATGTGTACAAATAACTATGTCTTTATATGATGTTAGATTATTAATAGATGAAACAATTATTCGTTGTTTTGAACCCATAAACAATAAAATATGACTATTTATTAATAAGACAGTTAAACACATAGCTAGAAATATTCGATCGGCTGATTTAGGACGACAAAAACGTTTATTTAATTGAACAATTGTGCATGCTATAGCACGATCAATTGAAACAATTGTTAATATCCATGAGGATAAATGTGTTGTAACATAAGTTAAAAATGTATGAAATTTACAAAGAAATAAATTTTGTTCTCTTATATCAAATAGAAAATAATCACGTAATATGATATTTCCTAAACCCAAATAAAGTACAATTAAATCCACAATCGATAAATAAGCTAAATATCGAAATGTTGAATGTGTACGTAATTGTTTTTGTGTAAATACAATAAATGATAATGAATTACCAATACTACCAATAAACAAACAAATTAGAGCAAATGGTCGTGTTATACGAGGATCATAAATATCACTTATTGAAAAGGCTGTTTCTGTTAATAGTGTAGTTAAATGCGTACTTGTTGTTGTTACAATTGATTGAATACGATTTTGTCGTAGATAAGATGATGATGTTGAATTAAACGACATTGAAATGATGACACAACAAAAAAAAAGGAAAAGAAATAATTAGATTCTTATTGAGAATAATAAATAAAATAATACAAGAAATATTCTGATTAATATTTTATTTTTTTTGAAGATAACATTGCTGATAATAGATACTTATTTTTGTTCTATGAAACAAAGACCAAAATATAACATGGATAGATATATATACATTACATAAAAAGTAATTAATTAGTGTCATTTTTTTTGACTTCTGATATGTTTATATATGCGTAAAAATGTTACATGGATAAGAAGAAAAAAAAAATAAAAGAAGAAAATGCTTCTTTTTTTTCTCTATACTATAGATGATTTTTTGTTGTCAAGGTTCTTTATTCTTCTTTTGTCTTCTCTTTATATTCATTGTCGAAACAAATACATCTACTTGTCGATATAAACTTACCCATAAAAATTTTAAATCTAGCATATAGAAGATTACTGCTTACACAGAACATGTATAACAAACAAACTTTGAGTAAATTATGATTTATTGTTAAGTAATTCTACTTATGTCATGACAGATCTAAAAAATAACACTAGTCGATGGAGTGATGACTAATTGAAGTATATCATACTTAGCACCAGTAATAGTGATAAATTTTCTATAGAAAATATAGCTAACAATGTAACCAATAAGTCACAAAAAAAAAAAGTTTTGCTTTCTATGCTTAATAACAAATTCTATACGTCACTATTTACATATATATACAAGTGTGCTTTTAATGTTTAGGGGAAAACCTATTATGTAGAGTCATGTTGTTTTGTTTTGTTTTTTTATTTTTTAATAGACAAACAATTTATGAAAGAGTGCTTGGTATTCTATGTTTATACTTGATTGGTCTATCATAAAAACAGACACGTCTGCATGATCCGAATTTTTTTTTTTCTTACTCTTTATTATGTAAATAAAAAAAAAATGGGAACGTTTCGAAATCATTAAAAATGTCATATCACGTATTTGTTGATCAGATTCTTGCACATTTTAGTTGGCGTCAGCCGGCTTTACAATTCGATATTTACTTGTAGGCTTTATTTTCGAGATTTCTATGAAGAGAAAAATAACAATATAATAGAGAAGTCTATTCAAAATAAGTGCTTCTCTATATTTCCGTTTCGATTCACAAAATATGCTAAGTAACAATAGTAATTTGATTAAGGGATACATCTTCCGAAAAAAAAGAACGTTTAAAATACGGTTTATCAATTAGAAAACATCCTTGTCTTATTGATAGCACAAGTGGTTTATAATTAATTTATAGATATCACTAGTTGATGTTTAGGCACTTGAATGAAGTATAAAAAGTGTTTTTTTCTTATTGGTTACTAACACGTACAAGAATTGATGGTAAAAAATGTCGTTTTCATAGTGATGAACTAATTATAGCTGTTACGAAAAGAATGTTGCTCGAGTCAAATCATATTAATATTCTATTATCATTTGTACGTTCAATTTCAAAATCAAATGATCCCGATCAATTATTATCACATAATAAAGTATATAAAAAAAGAAATTGATTTCTTTTTTCTTTTTTTTTTTTTTTTTGTTTTTTCAATTAAATATTGTATTTTGTATATTATGTAGCGTTCTTCACTCTTACTTAATTTCTTATTAAAACAAATTCGTGATCATACAGAGTCTGATCAGAAACTTTTAATTGATCAACGTTTAGAAAATACTATTATTGCTTTAGCTTATTTAGCTGTTGAACTTAATGATAGATGCAAAGTATATATAATATTCTATGCCACTTTTAGTTTTGTTTTTAAATCTCATTTTCATTTCATTTAATCAAAGATTCGTCAAGATATTATCACAGTTTTACTTGATTTTTATCAGAGAATACCAACAGCAAAATATTATGAACTTGCTTCATATAATTATAAATATGGTAGACAAAAAAAAAAAAAAGAGTCACAATTAATCTAATAAACTTAAGATGATTAATATTTTCTCTTTCATAGCTTTACCTCCGGCAGAAGTATTTAGTTTTTGTCTTCATACAGCTTTAACCGAACTTGCATCGACATCAGAAGATGCAAAAACAAGAGATAATGTAAGATAAATGAAATTTATACAATTAAAATAAATTATTCTTTGCCAGATTATGTTTATTATTGCGGATGTTATTCGAAAGTTTGTTGAAAGTATACGTAAAGCTGCAAATAATCATGCAAAAGGTAATTTGATTTAATCAATAGAAAGAAGTCTATTATTTGGATTCTAGAGAGATATCAATCGATCTATCGATATGAAGTACCATTTTTATTTGGAGCATTAAGATCAATTGGAAGGTAAATAGTTTTGTATTTATTATGGTTTGAAATAATTAAATTCCTTCCGATAAATGACTTTTAGAAGAAAAGAAGATTGTCTATCAACTATCGAGCAATTTATTTCTTTATTATATTTGCATTTTTCTTATCAGTGACTATTAAAGATCACCAATTTTTTTGTAACTTGACTAGAGACCGGCGAAGTCAAAATTATTGAACTCACAAGAGAACTTTTTCAATTCATCAATCGCTTGTGAATTGAAACTCTGTGTATCAGATAGACTTCAGTAATGTTTAAAAAAAAGCCTCAAAAGGTTAAGTCCCCTTAGACCTTCTATTCACAGTTATAGACATTTTACTAGATTAGTCTCTGATATGGTATATACCAATAAGTGAAATAATGTTTTTTTGTTTACTTGAGACTTTGTTCACCAATAGATCTATTCGTTAATAGAATGCTCTAGAAATTTCAGGTTGAAAGAGTATTTTATTCTCGAAATACTTAACTCTCAAAAATTACCCATTCTAGCATATTCGAGAAGGAAATATTATTTTAAGCTAAAATTTTCAGAGCATTCTATTGACTAATCGATCTATCTGTGAGCAATGTCTCAAGTGGAAAAACCATCGCTCTATTTGTTGATGTATACCATACCAGAGGCTAATCTAACAAAATGTCTATGATTTTAGAATAGAATATCTAATGGTGTTTAACCTTTTGAGGTTTTTTTATATGTTACTGGAGTCTACCCGATATGCAGAGTTCGAATAGAAAAATAACTGATCAATTGAAAATGTTCCCTCGTTAGATCCAAAATCGTTCTGAAAATGCGAGATGCTTTTTTGTCAATTATTTGTATTCTGTAACTAAAACATCAAGTTATTATTAGCATGTATTTTTCGAATTTTGCCTTTTGAGTAAAACCCAGATTTCTTCAGATCCGCTTGGCGGACTCTAAACTTGATGCACGATACTAAATTCAAGCATGTTCAAATAAGATAAAGAGTTTTTTTTTTTCACAAGTGTTAACCGTTTCTTTTGATAAAATTACATTTTAAAAATTCTAAAAAAACAAATCTAGTTATAATTTGATTTTTAGAATATCTGTAAACGATCAAAGTCTAATATCTCAATTATTTCCAATAAGTTTTAATTCATCAACACAATCAATTTATATTGAACAAAAAGAATCAACAAATAATTCATTAAATAATGTTAAAAATAGTACAATTACATTTCGTCCAATTATTTCGAAAGTTTTATCAAGAAGTATTCTTTCATCAACTAATGATAATATACCTCAATTATTATATTCAAATACTAATAATTCAATACATAATGGAGATCAACATGATTATTCATCAAAATTTCGATCTCTTTCGTAAGTATTTTATTTGTTGTGTTTGTATTTTGTTTTTTTGTCCTTGAAAATTTTTATCGTAGACATTTTTCATATCTATCAAAGTATGTATGATGATTGTTATAAAAAAAAAAGTTAAATTAGCTGTTTTTTTTTCTCTTTTTTTTGATGATTGATTATATTCAATAGATTAACAATTTTGAAAAATAATTTTCTTTTTTAACAATTATTCACTAAAGAACATTTTCTTTTCTTTGTTTTTCTTAATAATATCCAAATATACATATTATTAAGAAAGACAACACGATTTTGTTTATCACTAATAGTTTTATAAAATTTGCAAGACACTGTTTGTGACATTAGGATAATAGATATTAAACGTTATGATTTAAATAGTCAATGCTTGAATTGATAGTATTGATTTACAAAATGTTCAGTTTATTATGTATAATAACGAGTAAAAAAAAAATATGAAATTCAATTAGTAGAAGATTCATATTTGGTCAATAATAAATATCGATTTTATCAACACGGAGTCTATTTTTACCCGTGTAAAATATGACGTGAATATAGGTGTAGATTTTCATTTCATTCATACCTCTACGCTCTGATGATCATCATGCTCACCTGCAATTTTATAAGCAGTAACTAGTTTTACTGTCTGAATATGATATAGAAGATAAATACTTGCTCTATATTAAGGCTCATGATGCCCGACTTTGTTGTATCTGTAATAAATCGTTCTGACAATTTTCTATGTAGTTTGTATAATATTTTGATCATTGATTTCCAATTATAATGTTTCTGCTCCGTCAACATTATCAAATATAGCATCGTTAATACAATATTTTGACTTCTTTTTTTTTTTTAGCAAGGTCTTTAGCTCAAGTTAGAAAAAAACGATAGAAACAGAATATATACATGTATGTCATACATAGTATTTGTGCTACATGGTGCAAAGAAAAGAAGTAAAAAAAAAATGTGGATCATACTATAACATATCTCAATTTCTATAATTACTCTTTGATTTAATTGACTGTTAGCAAAATTTTATTTAATAATCTTTAAATTTATTAACAAATGCAATTCATCATTAATTGACTATTTAAATAATTTACTAATTTTATAATTAGTAGACCTATTGACAAAGTTGTGACGTACATTGACCATTGTGGCTAGTATATGGTTAGTCAATGTGTACAAGGAACTCAGAGTCAGGCCGGCTTTCTGTCCAAAGCTATAGTTAGTATTTGAAACTGTCTCCACACAGCAGCCTATACCGAAAAACAGAATACTCTTCTTCTACTCATGTGACAATTACAGCCAGTAAAACGATTGATATAATGTACGCAAAACCGGTGGTATTTTTGAAATCTGCTAAAGCTGACAGATTTGAGTCGTTTTCAATGCATTCTGTGAAGTTTGATATATCTAAGCTACCTTGTACTAGCCACAGAACTCGAAGCCGCTGCAATTATGAAATAACTTTTTATTATTGATGTTACTGCAAAAATTTTTGTTCATAAAATATATTTTGAAACTGTTTTCTTATCCGAAAATATGAATTATTTCTAATAAATAATTCGATTTTGGATAGAAAATACTAGCAGCAATCGTTTATAGTGGAAATCGAAAGTCGTAAGCATTACTACCAGTTCTTATGAAGTACCGCAGTAAGCTAAAGTAACGGAAAAATACGTTTTAATATATCTATCGCATGTCATAAGTTCCTATAATACGAATTTGTCTTCGAAAAGTAAATCAAAAGATACCTCTTTAATATATAGTTATTCGTACTAACGAACTAACGAGTTGATATGATTGATTTCGGCTAAACTCAATCAAACATATTTTTAGCTATGATTCTAAATTAGATTTTTTTTTGTTTTCTAGGTCGGTAGAAAGTAGTGATTTGGGCACCTCGAAAGATGATCTTCCAATGGATTCTTTATTTTTTTCCGTCTCTGGTTCAAGTTATCATCATCGTCGAAAGTCTTCATCATTATCAAATTTAACCTCCAGACGTTTTCGTATTTGTGTTACCGTCCCTATAATAGAACATATACATGAGGTAAATTTGATCTCTTTTTTTTTTTTAATGTGTTTCATAAAAAATACAATTTTAGACATTTCAATTAGTCGATAATCGTGTTGTTAGATTTTTGGATAAAGCAGCTATTGTTGAATATGATTCGGTTCATCGTCAAAATTCCTATAAATCCTATGTAAGTTTTTCATTAAACTATGAGAGATAAAACAAAAATAATTATTCTTATTTTAGTCAAAACGTTATTTTCCTTATACATATTTTGGTGATGTTCTCATCTTATGTATTATTAAATTCTTTCGTGATAATCTCGAATTACTTAGTAAATCTACTGGTATGTTTGTTTGTATAGACTCCATTGAATGAAAAAAGCACTGTAAAGATTTTATTTAGAAAGGCAAAGAAGACATGATTTGAGTAGGTTTATAGTTAAAGAATGAATACTTACTAATCTTAACATTTATTTATTTAAAAAAAAAACAAAAAAAAAAAGAAGAACAACTTTGATAATTTTTTGTTTTTTGAATTTATTTTAGAACGACTTTTATCAATGACAAAAGCTACTTATTTATTTGTGCAACAACTAATAACAATTAAATTATTGGATTTAGATAATGATGAATATAGAAAAGATCCACACCGTTATCGAACACGTGTAGATGCTAATGCAGCAGCATTAGAACTACTTTGTTTATCATGCGATGATGAAAGTGGTATGTTTCAATAAATTTTTATAGGAATGTGCAGTGCCTGTGTAAATACTGACAATGAATTACTGATATAAGGTCTACTGAAGAACTAACTAAACTGACATCCGCATTCACTGCAATATTAAAACAACAGTTCTATCAAAATATGACATTTTTTGATAGGAGTGTGTTTCACAGTACTTTAGCGATAGGATTCAGTGGTTCCAACTAGAACAATGAACAAAAACGCTTTATAGCCGTTAAATCATCAGATAGATACAAAAATGTTTATATCTTTGTTAAAAAAACTTCATTTTTTTAATTCTTGAGATTAAAAATTTCAGTATATATGTATAATATTGTTTTGTTTAAGTATTGAAATATGTGACATTTTTAATTTCAAGATTTTAATAATGAAAATTTCTAAAAATAGATTTAAAATTTTCTTATCTATCTAATGATTTAATGTTTTCGGTTCTTCGTGATATTTTGGGAACAAAATCGAAACCGCTGAATTCTATCCCGCAAACACTGGTACTTCGTGTAGTGAGTGATCGGTAAACTGAAACTGCACATTCTTAGATTTATATTTATTTTAAATTAGATTCCTAATTTTCTTTTTAATACTAAAACTATTTCCTACTAATGCCTATTCTTAGATCTGGATAGGCAAAATGAAGGATATTTGAGTATGTATATTGTCAAAAATGTACTCCTTCACTAGTTTTTGTTCTATCACTATTGTTAATATTACTTCTTTAATCACAATGTGTAGTCTTCACAATTGAAAAGATATTCAAAAAAAAAAAAAAAGAAGACCGTTTTCGTAAATAATTGAGTGATGAATCACGATAGTACCACATATTTTATTCTTCCACGTGTTTTTTAATTCTTCAAAGTTATTGAAATGATATCTTTTTTCATTACTTATTATATTATTTTA